TTATTCATGGCAGCATTACGCTCCCACTTCCCACCCATTTACTATAAGAGTTGTGAAGCTAGTTACAAAGACTGCCTGATGGGAAAGAGGGGGGGGGAGTTCTATTTCCTGTCCTTTCTGCTCCTAGGGGAGGAGCTAACCCATGAGTAAATGCTGCCATGAATAATGATCAGGAAAAGAAAATTACGGTTGGTAAGTATTAAACAATTTCCCATTATTAATATATATTTTATTTGGTGAGAATGTGCTGGTAGCAACATTTCTAGCAACAGAATGCACATAACTCTATAGACATTGTACTTTAGGGTAGGGTTCAATTTAAATATTTGTGCACTTTAATTGCATTTTTTTTAAATCATATGTATTAATGACTGTCTTTGTAATGGCCCCACTAATACATTACATATGTAAACATGTCACCATTCAGCCAACAATAATCATTATTTGTGAATTTACAACAATTATGGGTTTTCTGAGTACTCATAATTTACAGAGCTTGAAATTTAGAATCCTAGGCTACAAAACATTACTTAAAAGGTTACTTGCCACTGCAAGCCTGGGTCCATAGCACACTCACCAGGACTACATTTTTTATTCAATATCGCTAGTGATAAGTGGACATTTTTAGTCATTTCATTAAATATACTGGTTTGTGGCCCAAGGTTTACTCACCTCCGCCGCAATACACTTCTGGGGGACTGCAATATGCATTGATACCTTTTTTATTGGACTAACATACTATTTCAAAGACAAGCTTTCAATAGTTTTCCTCTTTTCCTCACGTCTGAAGCAATACTGATCAATCTGATATAGTTTAACACTTAAAACAACTGATGTTAGAGAAAAGGAGGGAGCTGCGGTGAGTGGGGTGTCATAAATAGTAGAATATGTGAAAGGTGCAGGTTGGCTGAGAATAGCCAGAAAAAGTAAATAAACAGAGGAGAGTTAATAAGCTAGTTAACACCCCCCCCCCACCCCCCCAAAAAAAACAACAACAGCAAAGCGGGGCATGCAAGTATATAGCTGCATATATGTATGTATATAAATTGATCCAATAAAGGTGAAGCGAAAATATTTTAAAAGTTGCTATATAAGACATTAACCCTTTAAGGACTAAGCCAATTGTATAAGTTGTGATCAAAACAAAACGTAAACAAAACATGGATTTTTTTTTTATCTGTCTGTTCAACCTTAATTCACCTCTTTCATATTAAATGTACCCACACATAGTATATATCATTTTGTTCAGGAGAAACAGGGCTTCATGTCATATCAAATATTTATATATTAAACATAATTTAATATGAATAAAATATAAATAAAAATGTGAGAAATTAAGAAACTTTATATTTTTTTAGTTCTGCATGGCATTTTAACTGTTGAAACACAACTCAGGAAGCGGAGCAAAGCCAGTGAACCACTCATGGACAGCTGTTTCATTGTTAATACAACTCATCAGCATGAGGTTGGTTACTGGCTTGCTATGGAGGTTTGGCATTACTTGTGTTTCAAAGCTGTTGTATACAGCAGATACATACTCCAAGCAATCCATGTATAAAGTGGAAATGAGGCAAAAATGCTCATTTGCATACACCTACCCAGAATCCCTTGCAGTAGTGAGAGCACTGTTAAAGTGAGATATCTGTGGAAAAAGCAAGTCTTATGTCTTGACTGGTGTGTGTATTTGTGTTTAACAATGTTTTATATATATATATATATAGAGAGAGAGAGAGAGAGAGAGAGAGAGAAAGAGAGAGAGAGAGAGATGAGGCAGGGAGAAAGCTCGGTTTTCAATAAAATCCAAAGTTTATTCGGTATGCATGAAAATAGATCAACGTGCTGCTGAGCTAATTAAGGGGAGTGCCCCCTAATTTCCACCTGTGTGGGATTTGTATTGCCAATATAAGCCCACTACTAACTCACAGAGCTTGCTCACTGGAGTTTGCTTGAAAGTAGGCTATTTCAAGTAGTCTCTTTTAAGTAGGAGTTGAAACCTACAAGGGAGTTTAAACCAAGAGGGTTAATATTGTTATTGCTCACTTGTGTTTTTCGTAACTGGAGATGAGTGCTAGCAAGATTGTGAGTTTAACTCAGTGCACATCATGCCACATGTATGCATGCCTGGATGATTCTATCCAGGGTCCATACCTCTGTGGTGGGTGTGAGCGAGTGGCATTTCTGGAAGCTCAGATTAGAGATCTGGAGAGGCAAATTGTAACACTGAGGGAGATTGACAATCTTGAGAGGAGTCTGCTGCTCACTGAGCAGAGTTTAGTGGGGACAGGTAGTGGAGAGGGAGGAGATAAGACAGATGGGGAACAGGCACGTAGCTGGGTGACAGTGGGGCGAGAAAGCAGGGGGGGAGGGAAGAGAAAAGGTTTAGCTAGTCCTGATCTCCTGCAGCCTAACAGATTTGCCCGTTTGAGTGAAGATGTTGGGAGCATCAGCTCAGGAATAGCTGTACTGCAGGAAGCTGTTCCTGCTAACAGCCATGGAAACAGCCCCTCTAGTACGGGTGCGGTTGAGAGGGTAAGGAAGTCTAGACAGGTTGTGGTGGTAGGGGACTCTATTATTAAGAGTGTAGATAGGGTAATCTGCCACTCTGATCGACTCAATCCGACAGTTTGCTGTCTCCCGGGTGCTCGGGTCCGGCATGTTGCCGACAGAGTGGAGGGATTATTGGGAGGGGCTGGAGATGACCCAGCTGTCATGGTCCATATTGGTACCAATGACAAAGTCAGAGGAAAATGGAAGGTCCTAAAGAATGAGTTCAGGGAACTAGGAAGTAAGCTAAAGAAAAGGACCTCCAAGGTAATTTTTTTCAGAAATATTACCTGTGCCGCGCGCTACAGCAGAAAGGCAGCGGGAGATTAGAGAGGTCAATGCGTGGCTAAAGTCTTGGTGCAGGAAAGAGGGGT